CAATTTTAAACTTGCCCGGATAGTTGAAATATAATTAGATCAAATTAAACGACATTCAATATAGAAAGTATAAGTAAAATACTTTAAGTGTTTGCAAAATTTTCTTCGATTTGTCATGCATGAATTCCATCGATTGTTTGGTAAAAAGATCAACTTATTAGGACAGAGCCTTAGCAATGTATAGACCGTTTCTTTAACTCTTTCCAACCTGTGGGCTTTAAGAGGGCCTTTTTTAGCAAACGCATTATGGGTTTGATCAGGACCACAATAGGGGTAGCTGGATGGTGAGGGACTGGGCCCGACATATCCAGACGGACCACATCTCGGAAAATTTCTGGGGATTTTTCTACCTATCCGGATCTGCCTGGTCCCCAGAGCGGTAGGCTGTCACTTTGACAAATCGGCCATAAAGCCAATTGATAGGTCTGAGGTCTCTTAATGCCCTCAAATCATCGCAAACATTCGTGCACAGTGGACTAAAAAGCTAATCCGCCGCCAAGTGCGTCAAAAACATTGCTTCGACTCTCATTAGGTCCTGGATCGGGGAAACAGTAAAGTTGTAGAACATTAGCACCATGTTTTGCCACATAAGTAATAATTACAACGTTTATATGTGGCTTGGCGTTGCCATCAACGAATGTTCAATTTTCTGACGTCATTTTTTTTAGTTCCTTTGGGCCATCATAATTATATTTCACATAGCTTGTATTTGCAACCGTCTGTAATTTTTCCAACGTTTGCTCTTTCACCAGCACAAATGATTGCATTTTAGTCTCGTCCAATATGTTGATCGTCAGTTACAGCAATTTGTCAACTTTGATCTTCTTTGTGATAATCGTAACATATTCACTTTGATTGAGCTTCCTCCCTGCAGCTTATTTTATCAAGTCGGGCAGGCGTTTTTTGACGTTTCCCCCAATTTAATGCAAAATTTGATGCATATTCTCTTATCTTCCCTGACAAATTCTAAAGACATATAGAGTGAGTGTTTGAAACTGTGAAACTTTGAATGATAATTGAAGATATAACCTATATTGATATGTCGATTACATATCTAAAATATAAAAAACTCCTGACAAAATTGCGTGTGTCGGCTACTATTTTTGCATTAACTAAGGACTGGATGAGCCAAAAGTCTTGAAATTTCAAGGTTATTTCTATATATGGGGCATTACTGCTATTAAATTTCGATGGCTACAATTAAATCAAGGATGGGGAAATTGAAGAGATTCATAAACTATATTTCTAGTGGGGTCAGATTTAATAAGAATTATACTTTTAATTAGCATATATAATATTTTTAAAAATTCGTCTCTACTCTCAAAATTTAAGTTTTTTGCCTTTTTATATTAATTAATAATGTTTAAAAAATTTTATGAAAAAATCCGATAAAAGATGGCGCCGCACACTATTTATTTATTATGATTAATACTGTAATATAAATGTTATTATTTAAATAAAATCTCTTAACAGCGGAGATAGTTGGCAAATGTTGATGGATTTTTTCCTTTAAATCATCTACACAATTCAAAGGATTTTCTTCTTTTCTTGTTGAAATTAATTATCAATTAAACTTCAGAAAATTTTTTATTTTTGGAAATTTCTACGAAATTAAAAGACAACTTTTAAAACATATTTAGACAACAACGTTAATTAATTTTATTCCTATCGTGCAGATTACAAAACATATCAAATTATTCTCAAAAACGAAAATAATTACCGTTCTTTTCGAGTACATATTTATTCTATAATATACAGTAGATTTCCCTATAAGACGGTAGATACGTTCCGTTCTTTATAAATCCGATTTTGTAGGAATCACATCCAATCACAGCTCGACACGTGTGAAGTTTACGGACTACGGCTGTTTGAAAGGTTTTATTCCATAAAATTAATCGATTTTAGACTAATCCGACTCAACATTTCCAAAATACGCATATTTTTTTGGAAATAATCCGTATAAACTACGCTATAAACAAAAAATTGTAGGATTACTTACCGAGTGTGCANAGAAGTTTCACAGACGAATAGAAGGTCACCTTTCAAAGTGACGCAGTACACTTATAGGTCAAAAGGTCTAACTTTAACTTCCATGAAAGAGTGGAAAAAGGGAAATAATGATAAAAATAAAAATTAACGAAGCTCTAAAATTCACACGACAGCTCGAATTCCCAACAGGACTATAAAGACGTTACTTTGACATCTCGAGGAGGAGTTCTAAAAGAGTATCCACAGTGCTGTGGAATTTGTGCGGATACACATTATCATAAAACAAGAAAACGTTGTTTCAGGTATCGTCATCATATTCTTTTTTTTAATTGAATTTTTGTATAAAACATATAATTTATTAGATCAGAATACTTTTAGATTGTTACAGAAACTGTCATTCCTGCATGAGTCTAGCCCAAAAGCTTTGGTAGAGTCTTACTATGATTATAAAAAAAGTTATTTGATATATTCAAAAAATTTACTATAAATAAAATTAAAGTAATTTACAAAATTTGAACAATCTTTTAAATTAAATATGATTAACATAAGTAATTGATTATTTCGATTATTTTCTAAATTTATTTTATTTAAATTTGCTTTCTATGTGATAGAGACGGAATATTTATAGAAATTGTTATATTGTTTATGAGTAAAATGAGGAAAGTTACGAACTAACTTTCGTTATTTTAAAAGTAAAGGTAAAATCAAGGTTTTTTATTTATTAGAGATTTCTTTCACGATCAAAAATTTATCAGAAAGATCAAGGAAATATGAAAAAACAGAAAGTAATTAACTTTTACGTGTTTCTATTTGTGATTTGAACAACTGGGCAATTGTGTCGAGAAATTGACTTTTCTAAAAGTTGATTAAAATGAATTCTAGAGTATTAGCGCGGATAAGGTTTGACTCAACCTCGTNAACCAGTCTTATAGGGGGATCTACTGTATTCCAAATATAATTAATTATATACCAGGATTTCTTGAATGCTGAAACACAGATCACTATTTTCCTTGAAATCTTGAGATGGGCAATAGACTGGGAAATGAGAAATCCTGCTAGCTATCATTTACTTTCAGCAATTTAACGAAGCATAATGAGTCGAATAAAATTTGGAGAAAAACAAATACTTACCCACACTGTGAACATACTTAAAATGATATTTGAATTTGAGCATAATACGTGTTTCTTCGTAAGAGAGTATGTCCCATGTCTAATGAACTTAACAGTAATTAACAAATTATATTACACAGGATCAGTTTCACACGAATTCTTTATAATTCATGCTAGTAAAGATATTTAACAGTTAAATGGATATCTTTTATTTTTGAAGATATGAATGGCTGGTTTAGTTAAATACATACTTAACCTTTACTAAACCAGCAAATAGGTAGTTACTAAAATAGCAAACTAAGCCTTCAGTTTGTTTCACGTTGCACTTACGCACGTCTAATCCTTAAAGACGCACAACATTTGTGTAATACACATGTGACCGTAGGGTCGGCACCTCTTTGGCGCCCTGTCAGGAGACCTGAATCTGACACCACCGAGTCTCTGGGGGACTTGGAAATCGCGACGTTACGTCTAAANTAAACCAAAAACAAAAATATGAAAAAAATCAAGTACGAACCAAAAGTAAATTAACACAAAACAAAACACAATTTTTGACAATATTTTTTTAAAAAACTCTATAACGGGATATTTCCTTAGACTCAAGTTGTTCCAATGTATTATTATCTGAAATTTAAACATATTTTATTCGTGATTACGTTTTATTATCAGCATTTTTTTGCGATCCAGGATCGGGTGTCGCATATAAAATAAAGACAAAGAAATATTGCCTATAACAACTTTGTTTATATGCAAGTAGAATAATATACATACATACGAAAAAATTCGGTTTTAAGATTTGGTTTAAGTATTTAAATATTAATGAAAATAAATTGCATTTTAATGGGACGGATGCGCTTGTTTTATTTGCAGCAGAACAATTTAAACGTAGCTGCAATATTTGACACTGCTGAACTTTAAGCGTCTACAACATATTTCAACGTTGAACGATATTCGGTTATAATAACAGTTAAAAGAGAAAAGGGTGTTTCACTAAAGGGTCGTAATTAAATGCAGTACTCGAAACATTTATTCCATTATGTTATTTTTGCTTTAGCACGTATGATATCATTTTTTATATGAATGATGCTGAAAACCACATTATGTATTTTGTTATTTCTGTGAACTTAGCAAGAGAAGGGCAATTTTTTTTCTCTAAGTATTTCAACAAACATTATCACTTCGTTCGAACTAGTGAGAGTTCGCGGTGCCACGTGCGGTCATGAAATGTATTGCCGAAACACAGTGTCGGGTGTAGCTTGCATCAGTTCCCTCATAATTCGTGGCAAGTACTTGTTTTCTATCAGAGCACCGAAAATATTTACCGGGTCTGACCGGTGATCGAACATCATGCTCCCAAATCACCCTGCTCTGTGTGTCGCTGGCATATAGTAAGAATCGTTTCCATGTCAAATTACAATAAACCTAATTGTATTTAAAATAATATTTCCTAATTATATAACTTTTAAAAACATATCCTTAGATTATGATTACTTTTTAATCGAAATATTTTGTAAATACTTCAAATTCTAGGTTAAATTATAGACACGCGAGAAAAAATCATTACAGCACTTTTAGTATGCTGTATGATGAGTTTACACGTCAAACATTGGCACGTGTCATAGAAACTCTGATTTTAATTGGCATTTTTCCATGCTAATTGTTCTACAGGTATATCAATAAATACGTAGACAATTATTACCTACCACATTACAAACCTTAGAGCAAAAAGATTTTACTGCATGGCGATTTGACGTAAAAAAATTGGCAGATGTCGATTACGTATCATAAAAACTAACTGTGATTGGCATTTTTCCAGGTTATTATTTTGCAGATATATATATATATATACGTAGAAAATTATTACGTACACTAGAAAGTGCAGAGCAAGAAGACTATTAACCATGTGTCTGTTGACTTCATTTCAAATTCTTTTAAGTTTGCTTATTATATCACTTCTAGTGATATATTTATTAGGAAAGAAATGGAGAAACAGAAGAAAACAGCAGGTAAATTATCCGTCTTCCTCTGCATCTGAAGGTAAGTAAATGTTTGAAACTATCGTTAATTTAACAAAGTAGAACTTTATAACAGTCTTCAGTTAAGTAAATTTTTCTTGGTTTTTTATGAAACATTTGCAAGTATTAAAACGAGGAAAACGAATTTACCTGCAAACTATTTTGCTTAAAATTATAATTTTTAATGCTTAGTCGACAATTTTCTTTTAATAATTGCAACACATCCGAGACAAATCTAAATGAAGAGAATTTTTTTGTGTTATTATTTTTGAATTATTACTTGCTTTGTTTTGCGAGAAATAAAACGTATCGTTATTGGTTTATTTATAAAGATCTGGTTGGGATAATAACTGCATTTATCATTACTTTTTATTTTTCGGGAGTAAAAAAATGATCTGTAAGTAAAGAGTTGGTCCTCGCGCGGTTGATTAAAACGTTAAAATAACGATTGGAAATGGTGGATATGCCGGAATGTCGGCCGTCGTTAAGCCAAAGATAGTTATTGTGATTTGGGTCGTGGCTCCAGATGCCTTCCATGTTGTTATGGTGATCGGAATTAGTAATAGTTAGGAGATTTTCGGAGGTTATAAAATTAGTGTTAACTGTGTTTGGAAGATTGCTATTAGAGAGGTCGTCTGCTTTGTCGTTGATGTCAATACTAACGTGAGAAAAAGTCCAGATAAAGTGCATGTGCTTCTGGTGGCTGTAGTGGATGTGTGGTTTGTTATGGATTCTGCGAGTGATGGTAGGGGATTTGTCACTGTAGTTGTTTAAGGCGGAGAGGATGAATTTGGAATCGGTGCAAAGAACGGCACTGGTAGTCGGTAACATATGTGATGGCCTGCAAGATGGCCTTTGGCGGAGAAAATGGCGGAATCCAGCAACTAGTTGCTTAAGGTTCCTGGCAACATTTGGAGGAGCCACCTGTTATCTTATTTTATTTTAAAAATTTTATATTTTTAGCTATTATAAAATTGCAAAAACTTAAATTTTAAAAGTGATTATAGATGTTATAAAAAAATTTTAAATACTAATAACCAGTAAAATCGTCTTTAAGGTCGAGCCTGCTGGAAATACACACAGCCACCTCTATCTCCCTACCCTCTCGACCCTTAACTACCAAAATACGTAGCATCAATCTACCTACAGTAATACGAAAAGATCTCTGCAAAATTTTGGAAGTTATCGACTAAATGCATAAGACCGATAACACGCGCTAACATCCATACATAAAAATCCCCAAATTTTTTCGCATTTCTCGACATTTTTAGGTCCCCGAATCCAAAATCTAAAAATTTTTGGGAGGTCATTTTTTGATCGATCGCTAGTCTTTAAATTGGGGATATACGCTGGGTGTTTAAAAAGTTCCAAGCGGGGTGAAAGTCTGAAAGGTAGAAGCTTTCACATTTTTAATGTGCGAAGACTTCTACCTCTTTTTTGAACTAAAAGCGTGCTAGGAGGACAGAAGTTCGAGACTAACGTTTTCGGAACCTTACATAATGTGAGAATACGTGGGAGCGTTAGTCCTTTAGGTCGTTACAACCCACTAATAATGTGTCAGTGGATGGCGTTGAAGTAAGGTCTTAAATGAGTTGGGAGTGAAGTTGCGAGTAAGTTCGATCAGGGTCCGTATAAATTAAATGAAGAGACATGAGCATTTACAAAAACACATAGAATTTAATATATATATAAAGAACAGAGAAAATAAGCTAACAACTAAATACACTAAGTACACCTCTCGATATTAGAGTGTTTACAAATGAGTTTAAAACGATACCCATGATTTGGTGATTCGGCCTTTGGATATGGAGACGGGAATGATCCGGAGTAAGAGAATCGAAGCTGTATTATGCCGAAACTATTTCTATGGCCGTCTCCCCGATTTTGTGAATTTGATTCCTTTTTATTTCAGATTACCTCCAATCGAGTTTCTGGATTTATAACATCTGACGGGATATTCTATTGTTAAACATGACATTTCTCCTGGCTCAGATGACAGATATTTGTCAGAAAGGTGTCATAACAGTTCTTTAACTCGTTAAGAGCATTTACAATTTTTTTTTATAAAACCTATCCCTACATTCAAATTTAAACTTCTTGCCATTTTATAATAGTTACAAATGTAAAATCTTTTTAGTAAAATCTCATACCAGATGGCGCCACCTAATTTCGACTGCAAAGTTAAGCAACTAGATATTAAATTTTTCTCTTAGTCCGGATTTTATTCAATTCACTTTAAATCCGTCTTTTTGATTTTTCTGCATTAAAACAAAATAGAAGCACTAAATAGAAAAATTATGTTTACATTCTGTAATACTTTAACTCGGTCTTCAAATTCAAGTAATATCTTTTGGGTGAATCAATGTCGAGAAAAGAGTTTGAAGCTAAACGAAAGAAGAACTATTCACAAACTTCATTATCACACCAAAAGTCACGTTATTTTAATTCAAATTGATTTCCTGACAGCAGTTAAAGACATGACAAGCACGACTTCTTTGCTTATTTGAAAAATATGATGTACGAGAACAAGACAGTACTAATTTGAAATAGAAAATATATATTTTAAATTCAATATACAGTAGACCCCTATAAAACGAATTCCCATAATTACGATTCTTATAAGACAGCGAAAAAATTGCGACGGTATCCGTAAAAAACGGTAAAAAAAACTCCTATAATTACGTAAAACGTCTTCGGGCAGCCGAACTACTTTCCGCGCCGTCAAGCGCCACGCTACAGAGAGATTACTATCATCTGTACAGTATTATATATAAATTATATATAAATTAGGTACTGTACATATAATTATATATTAATTATATATAAATTAGGTACTGTATATATAATTATATATTAACTTAATTTATTGTAACTTTATTATAA